ATCGAAAACGTATAATCGATAATTCGTGGACCGGAATTGGCGCTGTGATTCATATATTGACGATGATGCATACGATATTTCATGCATAACGCGGACCTTTCGACTCGCTGCACGGTGAAATACCGCGAAAATATTCTTTTCGAGCGCATATCAAAAGCGCTCTGACAATTTATTAAACTTGCTCTCTTTCTCCCACCTTTTCTCTTTGCTTACACTAATTGATTTCGTATAACTCAAAACGCTCTCCGATTTGCTTCATTAAACACCTCGCATTCGCGCCAGCTGCGCATGTACCCTCGACTCGGGTAGGGACTGTCGAGGGTTAATCGACTTTGCACTACACCGTTCCACTTCTTTTCTCAAAGTTTTTCTCCTTGTGCCCACCCTCCCGTCTCCTGCAATCTTTAATTATACATTCAGAAGAGATCTCATTACGACACGCCGCGAAAGAAAATGATTAATTGGACACAACTGGCGTAGGTGCATACATTACGAGGTACCACTCGCGACCTATTATACTCGTTACATCGATTGCACCTCGCGCAAACGCACACGAAGGATGCAAGTAGCTAGATAAATACGAGCGTTAACGTGAGCAGACATCGTGAAACCTATTAGACTCCGATATATAAGTGTATACCCACAATATGTGTATTGTTAATATAAATATGTGTATGTACACACATTTATATTGCTCGTAATTATTTGAACGACAGATATTTTATTGTTTCTATAGTACATTAGTTGTAATTGTACGTATACTAAATGCAAATTATCGAGATAACGTTCATCTTCAATAAGTCAATATTGTATTATTATGTTAGCAAAGTTTCCTGCAAACAAAAGAAGACTTGGAAGAAATTACAAGAGGCCTATAATTATTCAAGTCGTTCGAATAACTATGAACGGTGGTGGCGTACGCTCTATCCATTTAAATTGACCTAATATTTCATAACGAAATAATAATGGGTGATCGATAACGTAAAACCAACCTTCTTTGAAGGAGCGCGCGCGATACGAGGTGAGAATATTCCTTCGAGAGCGTCTCGGGCGAATATTTTCCGATACCTTGGAAACAGCCTGAAAATATTTTTCGAGAAAAGGAGAATGATTTCGTCTCGAGGATATTCTACGAATGTTGCCGTGCGTACGGCTATAAACGTATCACAGAACAGAAGGCAGAGTACACGGGATAGAGGTCAATCGAAGGCCGGCCGACTCGCTCGTACTAGAGACCCTGTAATCGGAGACTGGCCATAAGAGTTCGTCAAATTCCTGCGAGTAAGAGAGAAACATAGACTATCTCACTCTTCTACTTAACGATCGTAGAAGAGAGAGCCTAAGTTTCTCTCTTACTCGCAGGAATTTGATGAACTCTTATGACCAGTGATTATAGGGTCTGATTATAGGGTCTCTAGCTCGTACAGGGGGTATCGCGTCATCCGGAGGAAGGGATTCGGCGCTTTAAGAGAGAAATATACGTTGACCGTCATCTAGTAGAGGCTGCGAGCGACGCCTTGATAAGGGCGCGATAAGATATCGTGTTCACGCGTGCCGCGTAAATATTGCCCCTCTAATACCTGGCCTGGCCTATAAATAACGTAGGTATGATGCGCGCACCCGGTTTTTCCACCCCGTTTATACCCTCCCTCCTGCCCGTCGTCGCTCCGCGCCGCGCCGCGCCGGTTGCTATCGTTCTGCATCCACTTGCACGGCATGGCGGCATCGTCGTCGAAGGAAACTGCCGCAGGATGAAAAGTAAGCGGTGTGTCACGTATATACGCGTGTTCTCCGCACGTGTACGTGCTACACAAAGGCGCGTTTGTACGGGGAATATAGTGGAGGATGAGTTTGGCGAGTGTGTGCGAACGCGCATGTGTGTACATACGTGTGCACGTGCGCACGCGTGTGTGACACGATACCACGGTCTTGGCACGTATTCATACACCGGGCGTCCATTGTCTCGAGTTATTCGAAGGTAAAAGATCGCAACTGAAGCGTTAAAGCTGACGTCATTGTTTCACTTTTCTTTCGTCGTGCATGCATCTGCCTACGCGCGCGTGCATATAGCGCACGTGAGGCGCGCGCGGCATCCTCCTTGTGTAACCGTTGTGTACCATCGTCGGCGCCCCGAGCTATCAATTCCGCGCGATATAATTCCGATACAACGCCGCTTCGTTTTACAATACTTTGCGCCGTCGTTGCGCGCTTTTCCACACGCCCTCGAGTCGTCAGTGGCGACGCCGATGGACCCAGACGTGGTCAGCTGTTGCGAGCACGCTCGCGCCTCGTCTGGATTAACGCAATTATTCCTAGTACATCGATACTACAAGGTGGGGTATAAACATCTGACGGTTCTTGGAATAATCTGAACACTGTGTGCTTGGTCAAAGATACGCTCTAGTCATGTTGAAAGATACACAATTGTATGGGGTTTCAGATGACATGGTTCACTTTTGAAAAATAATGTCCGTGAGACGATTTCCCACACACTGTTCCATCCTGGTAGGAAGAGAATGCATTACTCGCCGTAGAATGTTCTGTGGGATCTTTTCTATGCCCACGCGAGTGCGCTGCTTCAGCTCCAAGATGGTTGCTGGACGTGTTTCGTACACCTTGCTTTTCACAAATCCCCGCAAGAAAAAGTCTGGCGCTGTTAGGTCTGGTGAACGAGCGGGTCACTGCACGTCACCATACCGTGAGATAAGACGTCTGGGAAACATCCTTCTGATTGTGAGTGTCTGTGGGCTGCGTGAGCGCATGACCAAAACATATCTTTGACCAAGCACACAGTGTTCAGATTATTCCCTAAACCGTCAGGTGTTTCTGCCCCACCCTGTACATAAACGGCACTCGCGTTTCACCGAAACATCCTTAAAGTCACTTTAACATCGGCAGTTTTCTCATTGCATATCGTATCTCAATAATAACTGGCCGGCTGCCAAAGCGCGAGCAAACGGCTCGCCGTTTGCGTGAGTTTAATTATTTTCAAGTGAGTGAGAGCAAATTTAAGAAGTTTATTCAATTGACTGAATAGAAGAAGGGAGAAGAGGACGAGAGCGAGGGAGGAGGAAAGAGATGTGCATGTGTCAAGCGACCACATTCGCCTCTCGGTTACGGCAAGTGGATGTAACGGCCGATTCACCATTTCCCCGGTGTTACGCGTCGTCCGTAGCGTACTCTTCCGTTTGCGTGACATCAGCGTTAGCTCATTCCTGCGACCGACAATTTTCTAACGGTGACGAGAGTATGCCCGGCGCGGCCGCAGGCTCTCTCCCTTAATTAATCGCGCGCGACGCGAGCGCGCGCGCAAAATAGAAGGGCGCGTCTGCGTCGAGCGGGAGGAAGCAAGTCCTCTATGAACTGTGACCTGCGGATGCACGGCTGACCCGGCTTTCATCATCGTCGCAAGCGCGTGCACCTCCCCAATCCGCCGTTGGACGCCGCCCGTCTCTCCTCGCGGCACCGGGGATCAGATTCTAAGGGTAGTTACTCACTCGTACGTGGAGCCCGGCGCACACCCTGTGTAGACACCGCCTGGCATTTATTAGCACAGGTCAATGCTTCAAATCGCTACCCGGCGCACGGCGGAGCTGCGCTCCACTTGCACGTACATACTCGCGCACATATACGTAAGTTCTTATAGACAAGGTCGTTCCGTGACCTATCCGTTAGACTGGTTATTAAAAAAGGGAACTGTCAAACCCCGGCGGATTGTAATACTCGATCCGTTTTACTTATCCGCGTTAGCTAAATCCGTAATGCGTTTTGCGGAATGCGACCTTTGTAAAAAATTGACGGGGAAGTCGATAGGCGAGGGTCGCAGCGAAAGGGCGTAGCGCGGATTAAATTTTCTTTTGGTGAAAATCCAATTTGAAAGTTTACACACGTGTGGCGTGTACAGCGGGACAATTACCGGGCGCGGTTGCGGTTGATTTTACATCGCGCATGACCTATATGTCTATTTAAATCTTATTACGTGTAACCGATCGGAGTAATTACGTGCTGCGATAATTCGCGCTATAATGCCCGTAAGTAGGTATGATGTTGATGCGAATGACTTTTGACACGCGCACGCGACAGTCGAGCAACGGGATTAATCGACGAAACCTTTGATTGTGACAATTTCCTTTCGTGTTCTACGAATTCTGCCATTTTTTTTAGAATTAGGTTGTGTAAATACTTCAAATGCCGAATTTGCTGACGACAATGATTCCATCTAAATGAAACTGTGTTACGTCCAGGTTCAAACCCTGGCCGAGGTAATTATTAAAAATGCCAGATATGGTCGAGAAAACACTGACGTTAATTATAGATTATTCATCATTGACCCAAAACATGGTGTTTCCGACGTAAATGGGAAAGGGGGGAGGGAAAACTTAAAAATCGCGTATTCGACCGTTCTGCGTACGGCCGACAACCCTTATCGGCGCGCAGATAAAAAAAACAGTCGAAATAGACGCGTAGACATCTTTATACTGTTATTGCGACAAATATCATATGCCTCGGTGGTCGAATTGGTGAGACGCCCGTCTAGAGTGTAGGGAGGTCCAGGTTCAAACCCTGGCTGAGGTGATATTTTACGCAATAAATTTTCTGCATTATTAAAAGTGCCAGGTATGGTCAAGAAAACACGGAAACTGTGTTACGCCCGAAAAAAAGACCGGCGCGCGGGACAAGGTGGAAAACGGTGTATGAATTCATATTTTAGATTGCAGTTACTGGGCTACCAACATCTTGCTCTTACCTAAAGTTGCCCTCGTACTCACGAGCTTATTCTGTTTCGGCATAAATTAATTTGTTCAGTCAACATTAACCCGATAGAGAGGTCGAAACGTTGTGACTTAAATAAAGATCAACTTCTTTTGCCAGTCTGGTCGACTTTAAAAAAATGTTTATTGTGCTCTCGTTTAGTTTAATTTACTGCAAATGTTGTTATTTACATGTTTTTTCAGAGACTTGCAACGTGTAATTGTTTCCCTCTGTGTTTTCTGTTGCAGTGAAGAAGGCGCGGTTCGTCTGCGAGGATGGTTCGTATGTGGCAAGAGTGGAGAACGGTTACGATGGAGGCTGAGAGTTTCACTCGTCCGCTCCATCCGACTTGTGTTTCCCCAATTATTCTTTTCCAATCACCGAGCTTATACGAGCGAAATATTGACACGTGCGGAGCCGAGCGTTCAAAATTGGGGCTGAGACAAGCCGCAGAGACAACGCCGGGGTCTTTATTCACGCTTCGCTTCTAAAGTCCGCGGACAATTTATTGCACTCCGCGATTGGAATGGTTCCAGGTTTCGGATTATGCGATTGCTCAAGCAGAATATCGTGGCGTTCCGATTATACCGAAATAATTTTTCCGCGCGGAGATGCGACGTATTCTTGGGAGCGAAATATATCGAATTAAAATAAATCCAAGACGGCACTTTGCACACGCGGAGACTTATCGTAAATTTTTCCAAACTTCTTTAACGGGGCGGGAGGGAGCTAAATCGATAATTTCAATAATATCGGAAAAACTGTGGATTTATGTCATTCGTCGTATCATTCAATATTTCCTACGATGACGAGCTTAATCTTGACAGCCCCCGCTTGTGCATTTATATTATGCCTTTTTTAAATATTCATTCGCGCATCACGTGCACGTCGTTGTGCAGAATCGACTTACGGAGGGCATTATTTCGCGCAATTGTCGCAAGAATTGAAAGGCGCAACGATAACGTCCGCGCTCGCGAGCATAAACGCGTTCAGTTTTATGAATTTATTTATTCAATGCCCCGAGTACATTCATTTAACTTCCCTCTTTATCGAGAAATTTCGTCTCGTCGTAATTGACGCTACATTTCTTTCCATTCAACGTGGCATCTCTCATCTAGAGGAACAACTTGGCGGGGTTTATTCTCACGCGAGCACGCTGTTCCATATTCGGTAGCTTCTCAGGTTAAGAGAGAGCCGGACGTTATTTTCGCTAAAATCTATTTATGCCGCTTTTAATTCTTTATTAATAATCCCCGCTCTGCCAAACTCAACGGTCGAGCGCCGCCGAGGTGAACCGCGGGACGAAAGAACGTATTTCGCCGGTTACTCCGGAGACAATTTTCGCGGCGTGCAAAGTAAAATGTCGGGGGTGACGCACCACCGTGCCCGAAACATCGTGTCGCGGATCGTAAAATCTCGTTTCTGCTTTCTGCGCGACTTATCGGAGACGCGCAAGCTGGCAGCGTACAGGGGGTGTCCAAGGTGTGGGCGAAACTTATTGGGATTTAACAGTTCGTCCCCGCTTTCATGTGCCCATTCTCGAACACATAAAACCACGCGAGAATGTCATCAGGATCGCTCTTAAAGTGCGGATAAAACAGCCTCGTTCGCCGATATTACACGTTTATGGGAAGCTGAAATTACGATATTTTCTCCTCGTCGAAACGTTGCGCATCTGTTGCGAGCGATTCCGTTAAAAATGATAAATACGTATTTTAATCGAGACATTCAATATGTTTTATCGCGATACGATTTAACGTAATAACGTATTTCGCTCGTACGCTGAAAGTCCGCGCTCTACCGCACATCGTGTTTTGACTGGCCGATTAAAAGGTGGATTATCGGATTGAATTTCAGCGGATCAGTTCAACTCCTACGTAACGTTGAAGCTGCAAAATGTTAAGTCAACGACAGTCACTGTGAAAGGGGCCAATCCATGCTGGGAACAAGACTTCCTCTTGTAAGTTATCGATAATTGAATTTTACCCGGACGTTCGTTAGGTACGCTACAGCTTGAGGAATCCGTTAAAAATGCTGTTAGGTTAAACGAGTTTCCGGCAATTCGGAAATTCTACGTTACTATGACGCCACACACTTCGAAAACGTTGCAAACTATCGCGTGCGCACCGGCACTAAAGTATCTAGGACAGCCGGTAATTTGTGCGCATCTAGAGAAATCTGCGACTAATCGTACTCTCATTTAACGGGACTCTATCTTGGCGCAAACAAAATAAATCCTGTCCGTCGAGCGAATCCGTGAATTCGCCGAGCGAAGCCAAGAATCGCGAAAATTTCCAATAAAATGATCGAGGGTGAAACGTGCTTCTTTTTCGTGGCTCGGCATTATCAACCCTTAGCTTAGGAAATCCTTCTTGTTTGAGACGAGAGCCTCGGTCTATTATAGTCTTTGTCTTTTGGACGGGCTATTAAATGGCTCGCCGGAAAAGGAATAAAATAAAGAACAGCTCGAGTAAAATTGGCTCGCGGGTTAAAAAGGATTGTCTTGTTGTGCAATTTCGACCGTTGCTATACGCGAAGATATATCGTTCTCGATCTCGGCTCGCTCATGCAACGTTTAACGCCGGCGAATTCTCCGTTAAAGTCTCGCTGTTGAATTTCGTTTAATCTACTTTATACGAAAAGCATAGCTGTTTGCTTCAGAATGTAATATTTCTTCGTGGCCCTTCCCGCATAAGGTTAATGGAACTTGTTTGTTACGCAGCGAAACGAATGACATGAACGCCGGGCTCGTGGTGGAGGTGTGGTGCAAAGGATTCTTGTGGGACCGTTTTCTGGGCTACTACTACATCCCACTGTCAGAGGTGTCCTACATGAACGAGGTAACGAGAAATCAGTGCAACTTAAGTACGGCGGAGGTACAGGATCGGCAATCCGAACAGAACACGTCCGATATGTGTGACACCAACAGTAACACACAGCCAGACATCATCACCGACACGGTACACCAATTCAATACATAACGCTATACACCTGCGATATCACACTGGCGCATACTTCTGCGGCGAATAAAAATATCGCGATGGCAGCGAGAAACATTCCTCGCGGGTCGTTATAATTCGGTACGACCGACGAGTGCCGTTTCGCTTCGTCTAACATTTATTTCTCGTCACGAAGGTACCTAGAAATGGACTATTTTTAAGGGAACGCCACCGTACACCGATTACGTTTTACGAGCAATTCTTAAGCACCCACTGCACGTAATCGTCTCCCCCGCAGAATCCGCTCATTCCCTGCCAGATGCGCTCCCGTAGCATTGTACGCGAAATGAAATTCGACGTGCGCCTGCTCGTCGAACGGGACCAAAACCAATCGCTATTTGGCACGCTATTTAGTCATCCGTCGGTTTTTGGCAGAATAAGTAGATAATCCCCGGCGGCGCGCATTATTCTTCGGAGTTCGTCTCGGTCTCTATTATCGCCGGTGTGAAAATTGTGTGCGGTCTCTTTTTCTTCCCTACAAAACGCCATAAATTTAGAAACGAGGCACGAGCCGTAAACATAGGGAACGCGACACAATCAATCGACGTCACGTCCATTGCGTGACCGATTGTGAGGTCAATTCGGCCGGTATATATACGTACTACGTATATATTATGTCGCGCGTGATGCATAAATTGAATTCGCGAAGGTGACGCAACGGTGACCTGTACCGACGTCGCTTAATTCGTCGTCTGTTTTCGCGAACGCAATCACGCGCAAATGTAGAATATACACCGTACTCGAAGAATACGGTGATTAACGATAGCGCGTAATTTACGTTGCCGACGCGAGCGAGCAGTTGTAATAGCAGAAATGGTGATTTCTCTCCATCTCCCTCCTGTCTCTCCCTGTCTCTCCGTATCTCTCTCTCTCTCTCTCTCTCTCTCTCTCTCTCTCAGATACATTTACGATGCATATTGCGTTCATAATTAGCGCGCATAATTAGATATTAATAGCAGCCGCGGGGGACCCAATTTCTCTTATCGCCGCTTCCATCGGGCATGCTCTCAGGCTCTTGAAACATAAGTTACCGGAACTTGGGGATGTCGATTCGCGCAACGCAAATTATATTTCACTTGGCGACTCACACGATAAATTGATGCACTCGATAGATTTTCTCCGGTCTGGTCTTTCGTGGCGAGAGGCAGCGAGTAGAGATTGGCACTGGGATTCTTTTCGCCGTTTTGCCACTACGGTATGCCTTTTAAGGTTCACGGCCCTGCCGTAATTTCTTCTCTTGCGATTTCCCACCCTTTATTTTTCTGTCTTCATTTGCGAGGCACGGTTGAATGCACTTCTGCACGGCGACAAAAGTGAATTCTCGCTAATTAAATTGCCCGGATGCCCCATCTCAAGGTTACAGGGATGAAGAAATGCAAGGTATTCATTCGGCAAAATCACCCTCTCCCTGGCGAGAATAATAACTCTTTGGAACGCTCATTCTTTTAAATGACCAGACAGGAGTCACTCATGCGCGACCCGGAAACGAAGAAGCAATTCCCCTTTTCTTTCGCTCTTCTTTCTCGTTGTTATTCAAATTCTCAGAGGACCGCCTGAATGCCTCAAAAGTCGATTTCCCGTTGTTCTCCTTGTGGCAGCACGATCTCATTATCATCAGTATCATAAATCGGATTAGAGCTTTTTTCTGTGAAAAAGTATTCCATTTTGATGTGGGCGATGGCTTTCTAAGTCGGTTCATCAAAATTAGCATTTCAGCGAAATTGTATTTTTAATTAGCCAAATAATTTGTGAAAGAATATACGTCAAAAAAACGGCTAATGTATTTTATATCTATATAACACCGACAAAAGAAGACGGCTAAAGTCTGACCTAGCCTGTTTTCTTAATAACATAGGCGACTGTTACGAAGGATTCACTTTTTTTTAAAATTCTTTATCAGTCAGCGTAATCTGTTCGAAAATATATAAACTCCAAAAGAGTTTCTTTCCGTTGCGAATTCTTGTAGAGTATAAAAAGAATTTCTTTCCCAGTCTAAAAAGAGCTCAGAATTAGCGACATAAAAGCGAATTCTTTTTGAATGTTTTTAGAACAGAAATGGGATGGAAAAAGAATTTATTTCATAATCCAAGAATTCGAAGCGGGTTCTTTTTGGACAATCCGTGCTATCTGGGTTGCCTCTTTTGCACGAAATGCACTCGCAGCGTCTTTCGGAGAAACGAACGAACCAGCTTATTGTTAGAGAGTTACTAGACAATCGTGTGTGAGAACATAATTCCAATTTGGTGTCCGTTAATTCTTCGGGAGTAAGTCTCCTTTCGCGAGGCTGTCGTCCTCACACCCGAAAGATCACGGTACCCGACGCCGTGTTCGATCACAAAACTTTTCTTCCTCAATGAAAACTGGTAGAAAGGGGATGCGCGTCTTCCCTAAAGATTCAGACACGCGTTCGTCCGATTTCTCCACGTCCGAACGAGGTCGAAATCACGCCCGGCGTCGTTCTCGGCCACGACATCGCCATCACTATCGGCAATACCCGGATCCTCATCCGCTCGTGACGTCACTTGGCGCGCGGCCAAATCGCGACGCTCAATGAAACGTTCGGGGTAGCCGGGTCGCCGAGGGTGGGCGATGTGGTCGACGTGGGTTTACGACGACACTGTGCTCTGCGTGCACACACATGCAGGCGGGCTTTAGGAAAGGCAACGACCTTGACGAAATATTCAGCTGATTCTCGCGCTTTTTCTTCGCTCGGAAGTAGCCTGACACGGCATTTACCGGACGACCCTCGAGAAGAGAGGGCTCTCCTCACGTTAACGATCTTTCATTCACGCCCGCGAAATAAAGTATTTCGCGCGACATTTTTATACCCCGCGTCTATTATATTTTCGCTTCTCCACATTGCCTCTCGGTACAAGAACAGAAGTTGATGACCGTGTGATCTATGATCCGCGACCGCGAGCACAAAAGCGACGCTGTCGGCCTTTATCCCGCGACGAGAGATGCGTTAAGGCGGTCTCGCTTAGCGAGGCTCCTTCGTTCGGCTTTCCGCTTTAAACCGCACGATTGCGGCAACAATGGGTGAACCCACAAATCACGCTGCAAATCGTTCCTCCGCGTCTCTGGGCGAGCGATCGACGAAACGCGCGTTCTGCCGCGGCGATGACAATCGCGAAGATAAAGCGTCGATGCGGAAAAGAGAGCAAAAAGAGGCGGCAAATGTATGCGCGCACGTGTGTAAAAAGGATCAGAGAGGCCAACGTGAGGAAGGGGCAACGTGGACCAACGGAGACTCGGTCGAGAGTGGATGAGGGATGACGAGCGGGAGAGTTGAAGACGATACGTAACCGCATGCCCGACGACGGCGGCGACGGTGGTGAAAAAACACGGGTGTGAAACGCGACGCGAAGTGAGGTAAACGAGGATTGCTCTTCTCTAGTGTTGCGGAGAGGACGATCTGGGTCAGCCCGTGGCTTAAAATATTCACAAGACGGCACGCGAGATCTACACGCGGTCCGATTCGATACGAATTTGAGATACACCTGCCGAGGTGGTGTCGAATAACTCCTGCTGGATCAGAGACGCGGATGTAATTCGCTACCGACGATGATGTCTTATTGTCCCCCGCACTCGACTCGCTCGCGTGCCATCAATGCGGGTCTGACAGCGTCTCTCTGTTAACGGACATTTTCACACGATCCCGTATCTCCCCTCGTACATCACGACGACGTCGTCGTCGTCGTCGACCCATCCGATATTACGTGGCGACGAAATTTTAATCTCCGCGAAGACACGCGGAGGATTTTCACATCGGCGGAATCTCCCAGGTTGAATTTTCGGTAGCTGTTTCAACACTTGCGAGCACTCATCCTCTCCTACCGCGTACCACGGCTTTAATTCGCGAGACTCTGATTAATAGCACGTCGCGAGCGCACTTCGTCCTTCTGGTTTTATACGATCTCCGTCCGAGGGAGAGATGGATCCTCTCGTCCGAATCGGACCTTTGTTCATGAGCGATTTATTTTTCGCGATTTGCATTTTCATTACCGTTATTCGAATCTTTTTCTCTGTTACTCTCCTTCCATCTGTCTGTTTATCTACCTGTCTACCTATTTATCCATCCCACTGATGACGACAACAACCTAGATCCCTTCTCTACCTCAGCTTTAACGGACGCCGGAAAATCAATCGACGGCCCGTTTAAGTGGCTCCCTGACATTTTCCGCTATAACTCGGACAAGAAAACAAGAACGAGACCACCGTCGATTTACTTAATAGCGACGACGGCAAAGAGACCAGCGCACCTGTCCGCCGCGCGAGAGATGTAGCAGGCGTGTAACCGCGCTGACACGAGAACCGGCTGATGGGAAACGGATCCCCAGGATCATCTTCGTGATCCATAGAGAATTTCAGGCTGATGGACGATCGTACTTTCGGGGACTCGGAGGGCGCGGGACCAGGGGAGGGCAAGGGGGAAAACGTCACGGAAGGAGTCGTCGATCGATCGCGCGCGGGCCGTCTACGCTTTTACCTTTTCCTCCCTTTCCTTCGGCTCTCCTCCATCCCTGCCTGGAGTAGTCACCCTAGTCCTGTCGAAATCACGTCACGATCGCGGACACGTGGTCGAGCATTCTCGTGTTAGGAACAGAACGAGGGGATACCATCCCCGAGCTGGGACATTTCGGTGGGATCGGTGAGGCGAGTTACTTGCTGTTTACTCTCGACTAGTGGCTCGTAGAGAGCCTCGGTAGTGGATGTAGTCGACCGCTTTGTTGACCCCGAAGAATTGACGAGCGGCAATCCTATTCTGAATATTCCCGGGAGCGGGAAATCAAGCGGCCGTGCCCGGCCGAGCCGAGCCGAGACGGCTTTTATCGGCGAGCGGATCTCTCCCCGCGTTCTCGTGGGCGGAAAAATCGAAGCGTGTGTCCGTCGACGCGTGGGAAATGTTATATGCGCCTGGCACTATCGAATGAACGTTGTGTTTGAGCCGGCCGTCCAGTTACATAAACACGCGACGTAAT